CTATGATCCTTTGGCCTATTTTTGTTAATTAATAACAAAAATAGGCCAACTCCATCAACTAGGATTTTTTTAAACTGTAGCAATAATAAGACTGATACGTTTTATTTGTCATAACCTTTTGTTGGACTGTAGATGTGCTTCACATGTCTGATGACAACCCAAGAAAGTTTAAATCAAAATGTTTTAGGGGCCCAAAGATTTTGATTTTTTTTTTTTTGCTAAAATTAATGTGGGTTTAGGCAAGCAGCACAGTTGGTCCTGTATCGCTTCCATTACTTAAGAGTGTCAAGGCCAAGAAGGTAGACATCGGCAGGTGGGTATCTTTGTAGATTACCCAAACACACACCCCCACCTCTAATACCAATGCTATAGAAAAACAAAAGAACATCAAGAAAGAGGTCCACTTCTGCTACCATTCATTTATGAACTGGATCAAAAAAATTAAATCAATGCAACTAGTGGAAGTTATTTCCCCAATTACTCCTTCATTCTCTCCCCAGGACACAGGGAGAGATGGAGGAGCTCAAAATCTAACAAATGCACCTTCAATCTCATCAAATTTTTAAGGGATTCCTCCCACTCATTCTTATACAAGAGCGTATTCCACAATTTAGCAGAATACCTGAGCCTTTGGGAAGAGGATTTTGGAGTAGAGGAGTCTACCAGGAAGAGCTAGGAAATCCATAAACATTAACCTCCATTTGTGTTTATTTCTTGCTCTAACCCAATTGCTACAGTTTAAAAGCCCATTTAAGTACAAAGACTTATAGTGCAAAGAGGGACTTTTAGTCCTTCCCACCCTAACAGCAGCGACAATAATTTGGGAAAGGGTAAGGGGAGGGCTTTGGGGAGATTGGGGGGAATATGAGTTTTAAAGGCCATTTCAGTGTGTTTACTGTATTTTAATTCTGTTTTACAACACTGTTACTATTTGTTTTTTAACTTCTGTACTGCACCTTTTAAACTTTTCTAGTGTGGAGTGTTGTGTGCCTTGAGTCCCCATGGGAAGAAAGGTGGGGTATAAAAAAGATAATAGTAGTGGTAAAATAATAACAACAATAACCTACACAGAGAAGAAGATTCCTTTGAGAAATATTCGAAATTTGAAATGCAGATTGAGATGTGATACAATGCTTTGAGGGGGAAGTCCAGTGTCACATTGCCCATGGGAATGGAGTAGGCCAATCTGATTTTGCAAATACTGAGAATATCAAATGAAAAAATAGAGCCAATTCTTTTAAGAGTCACTGACTAGACTCACTCATATACCTTCATTCCTATTCTTACTACAAAAAAAATGCAAGGGTATCCTTTGGGAACATGTAGAATCAGCGTTCACTTCGGTCATCTGGAGAGGCCCTGCTCGTGATCCCGCCTGCGTCGCAAGCGCGTTTGGTGGGGACACGAGACAGGGCCTTTTCTGTGGTGGCCCCCCGACTCTGGAACACCCTCCCCTAAGGTCTTAGACAGGTCCCTACATTGGCAATCTTCAGAAAGAACTTGAAGACCTGGCTGTTCCGATGGCCTTCCCAGATTAGGAMATCTCCAATACCAAGTCCCATAAGCACTTTACTAGAAATAAGATTGCTGTACACCGCACACTGCACTTGCCCTATAATCCTACATACCTCCTGTCACATCAGCACTTTTAATCCTGTACCCATTACTCTGGCCTGGCCCAGTTTTATTGTGTCTTAGTGTATTGTTTATTGTTTGTTGTTTATACTGCTTTAATTGTTTTTAATTTGCTTTAGGTTTTGTATTGTTATATTGTATGTTGAGGCCTTGGCCTTTGTAAGCCGCATCGAGTCCTTCGGGAGATGCTAGCGGGGTACAAATAAAGTTTAATAATAATAATTTAAAAAAATAATACTATCTAGTATTTCAGCACATTTGAGATTTTCTCTGCAGATATATTTCATCAGTTGTAGAGATTGTAGGATTGTAGAGATTGTACGGAAGTTTGAGCAGTCTTTCGCATTTCCCTTTTTTGGTATGGGGATATAAGTTGATTTTTTCCAGTCTGATGGCCATTCTTGTGTTTTCCATATTTGCTGGCAAATGGCATGCATCACCTTGACAGCATCATCTTTTAAGATTTTAAACAGTTCAGCTGGGATCCCGTCGTCTCCTGCTGCCTTGTTGTTAACAATGCTTCTTAAGGCCCATTCAACCTCACTCCTCAGGATGTCTGGTTCTAATTCATTCACCACACCGTCAAAACTATCCTCAATATTATTATCCTTCCTATACAGATCTTCTGTATAGTCTCGCCACCTTCTCTTGATCTCTTCAGCTTCTGTTAGGTCCCTCCCATCTTTGTTTCTTATCATACCAATTTTTGCCTGAAATTTACCTCCAATGTTTCTAATTTTCTGGAAGAGGTCTCTTGTCCTTCCTATTCTGTTGTCTTCTTCCACTTCCCTGCATTGCTTATTTTAAATAATGCCTTATCTCTTCTGTTTAACTTCTAGAATTGTGCATTTAATCAGGCATATCCCTTATCCCTGTTTCCTTTTGCTTTCCTCCTTTCTTGGGCTACTTCCAGTGTCTCAGCAGACAACCATTTTGCCTTCTTGGTTTTCTTTTTCTTTGGGACGTACTTTGTTGCCGCCTCCTGAACAGTGTCTCGGACTTCTGTCCATAGTTCTTCTGGGACTCTGTTTACTAAATCTAGTCCTTCAAATCTGTTCTTCACTTCCACTGTATATTCGCTAGGAATGTTAGTGAGATCATATCTAACTGGTCTGTGTATTTTCCCTGATCTCTTTAGTTTTATTCTAAATTGGGCAATAAGAAGTTCGTGATCTGAGCTACAGTCAGCCCCAGGTCTTGTTTTCACTGACTGGATGGATGTCCGCCACCTTTGGCTGCAAAGGATGTAGTCAATCTGATTTCGGTGTTGACCGTCTGGTGAGGTCCATGTGTAAAGCCGTCTTTTATGTTGTTGGAAGAGAGTATTCGTTATACACAGCGAGTTTTCCTGGCAAAATTCTATCAGCCTGCGTCCCGCTTCATTTTGTTCTCCCAGACCATGCTTGCCTGTGATCCCAGTTGTCATTTGACTTCCCACCTTGGCATTCCAGTCTCCTGTAATGAAAATAATGTCTCTTTTTGGTGTATTATCCAGTAGGTCCTGCAGATCCTCATAGAACTGATCTACTTCTGCTTCTTCAGCAGCTGTGGTTGGGGCGTATATTTGGATCACTGTAATGTTGAAAGGCTTTCCTTGCACTCGAATTGAGATCATTCTGTCATTTTTTGGGTTGTATCCAAGCACCGCTTTAGCGAATTTCTTATTAATTATGAAGGCTACTCCATTTCTTCGATGTTCCTCTTGTCCGCAGTAGTAGATCTGGTGGTCATCTGATGTGAAGTGGCCCATTCCAGTCCATTTCAGTTCGCTGACCCCCAGAATGTCTATCTTTATTCTTGACATCTCACCAATAACAACATCCAATTTGCCCTGGCTCATAGATCTTGCATTCCAGGTTCCTATGGTGTGTTGATCTTTAGAGCATCGGATTCGTCGTTCACCTCCAGTACCGTCGGCCGCTAGCCTTCCTTTCGGCTTTGAGCTAGCTGCCTCATCACATCTGGGGCTAGTTGAACTTATCCTCTGCTCCTCCCCAGTAGCATTTTGGCCATCTTCCGACCTGGGAGTCCCATCTTCCAATGGCATACCGACATATCTCTGGTTGTACTGGTCCATTTAGTTTTCTTGGCAAGGATACTGGAGTGGTTTGCCATTGCCTTCCCCAGGGATCACGCTTGGTCTGACCTCTCTGCCACAACCGTCCCGTCTTGGGTGTCCCTTCACGGTTTCGCTCATGACATCATTGAGGTGCTCAAGCTCCAGCGCCCCGACAAGGCGGTGATCCTTTGCTGGAGCTACAATCTCTCAAGGTGAAAGAAGAAAGCGCAAAAGCCGGGTTGCAGCTAAACGTCAAAAAAACCAAGATTATGGCAACAAGAATGATTGACAACTGGAAAATAGAGGTAGAAACCGTGGAGGCCGTGACAGACTTTGTATTTCTAGGTGCAAAGATTACTGCAGATGCAGACTGTGGCCAGGAAATCAGAAGACGCTTACTTCTTGGGAGGAGAGCAATGTCCAATCTCGATAAAATAGTAAATAGTAGAGACATCAGACTGGCAACAAAGATCCGCCTAGTCAAAGCCATGGTATTCCCTGTAGTAACCTACGGATGTGAGAGCTGGACCTTAGGGAAGGCTGAGCGAAGGAAGATCGATGCTTTTGAGCTGTGGTGTTGGAGGAAAGTTCTGAGAGTGCCTTGGACTGCGAGAAGGTCCAACCAGTCCATCCTCCAGGAAATAAAGCCCGACTGCTCATTGGAGGGAAAGATACTAGAGACAAAGTTGAAGTACTTTGGCCACTTCATGAGGAGACAGGAAAAGCCTAGAGAAGACAATTATGCTGGGGAAAGTGGAAGGCAAAAGGAAGAGGGGCCGACCAAGGGCAAGATGGATGGATGGCATCCTTGAAGTGACTGGACTGACCTTGAGGGAGCTGGGGGTGGTAACGGCCGACAGGGAGCTCTGGCGTGGGCTGGTCCATGAGGTCACAAAGAGTCGGAGACGACTGAACGAATGAACAACAACAACAAGAGATTGTAGAGTATCATGTACTACTGGTGTGCCTCAATTTGCCAGGAAGTTTAGACTTCTCTGAGAAAGTCAGAAAAAGTTATGTGATAGAGTTTTCCAAGGTTCGTGCCATCTTCAGAGGTCAAGGGGGTGGAGGTTAGAATACACTGCCATGCTAAGAACTTCCTGAATGTAGAAAGCCAGCATATCTGGGCAAAAGCTTCTCTATTAGCTTGCTCTCTTGCAGGTAAAAATTTCCACATGTAGTGACTTTTGGTTTAGACGCATTCATATTCAGATGTGTAAAATACCACATATATTCTGAAGTGGTTCAGATATGAGAGAGCTATGCCATGAGAGAGCTTTTTTGAATATATGAACTGATTCATAGCTTTGTCTAGTAAACTTTTATTTCCTGAAACAACTGCTTCCCATTCAATGAAATTATAACTTTGTGCAATACATTCGAAAAAATTCATATGCCAAAGGTGATATGCAATTATCATAATGAACTAGAAAATTCAGGCATTACTCAGTCTTATCAAGATCTTTTCTGGTATGTTTTTATAATGTTTGTTTTGCTAGCCCACATTGAAATGTTTCGGTTTCAGAGTACATTATTTCTAATGAATCCTGGACATTGAAACATAAATGCTTGGGCTTGGAATCAGAAAAACAAAATTGCCCCATTCAAATATTGGTCTTTTTTTGATGGCAACACTCCGCATTCCACACAAAATAACTAAAGTTTGGGGTATTTTTAAGCAAAATTCTCTTTTGTATGATAGATGACAGACAGCAAAGTTGGCCAGCAGAATCTAAACATGCATGAAAGTGCTCTGTGCAGACTTCGGCTTTTCTGGATTCAAGCCACAGTTTTAGAGTAATAAATCATCATAAACTTTATACTCAAGAACATATGAAGGCACAACGTTTACACATACTGCCATTGTCTGTTGGGTTTTAGTAAGTCAAGTTAACGGCTACTGTTTTAATGACTTCAGTACTGTTTGTAACTACAACATTCGTTCATAGAAAAGTAAATAAGCTTGTGAATTCAAGACTCTTGATTCAGGAACTGCTTGTACATGGGTATCGCTGACAAAGACCCACTGTCCTATAGATGTTCCTCCTGAGTCTTTTAAACCTGCAACACAACACAGCCATTTGTTAATCCCAGCCAAAAAAGCAGGAGAGAATATGAAGCAGTCAAGTAAATTATTATTATTATTATTATTATTATTAGTAGTAGTAAAGGTAAAGGTTTCCCCTGACATTAAGTCTAGTCGTGTCTGACTCTGGGAGATGGTGCTCATCTCCATTTCTAAGCTGAAGAGCCAGCATTGTCTATAGATACCTCCCAGATCATGTGGCCAGCATGACTGCATGGAGAACTGTTACCTTCCTGCAGGAGCAGTACCTATTGATCTACTCACATTTGCATGTTTTCAAACTGCTAGGTTGGCAGAAGCTGGGGCTAACAGCGGGAGCTCATCCTCGCTCCCCAGATTCGAACCACCAACCTTTCGGTCAGCAAGTTCAGCAACTCAGCTGTTTAACCCGCTGCACCACCCTATTATTATTGCCATATTATTTTTCAGAAGCAACTATACTATTGTATTCTATTCATGGAAGGCTTTGTTTTCACGTCTCAGCTCTACCTGTTGGAGGTTTTCATAGGTGTGAAACTGCCCTAGCAAAAAGACATTTTGAATCAATGAAGCTGCCTATGGAAATGCTTCTCTGCTTGAGGAAGCCAACTAGGCTACTCTGAAAAATGCCTTGAAAGGTGCGAAGTATGTTAAATACCTCTAACACCTCGCTTTTGGGCAGAGAGACAAGGAACATTAGTTGTAAGGGTTTATGCACCAAACCCTCACTACACAAGGAGAAAAAATCCCCTCCTTAATAACTGATGTTAACACCAGAGAAATGCTCACATTACCAAAATTACCTAGATACTTCCAAGAAATCTAGAACAATGCCAACACTGATTTATTTAAATATTTATATTTCATCCTTTATCACAAGACCTCACAATAGCATGGATATCAGGATGATTTAACATGTATTTAAAACCAAACCACTTGTAGTGCTTCTTTGGAAAAAATTTGACCCTCCTTAGTGTTTTTACAAACTATGCTTTCTTATATGCTGGTCATGATATGATATGTAAAATCAACAAGGCAAAAAATGACTCTACTGAGAACAACCAGACTCATTTGACTCTATAACACTATGTAATATGATTTTTGTTCTTGGGTTATAAATGTCATTTCCTAATTGGTTCTGGAGACCCCGGAGGTGCAGTGGGTTAAACCGCTGAGTTGCTGAACTTGCTGACTGAAAGGTCACAGGTTCGAATCCGGGAGTGGCGTGAACACCCGCTGTTAGCCCCAGCTTAGCCCCTAGCAGTTCAAAAACATGCAAATGTGAGTAGATCAATAGGAACCTCTCTGGCAAGAAGGCAACAGTGCTCCATGCAGTCATGCTGGCCACATGACCTTGGAGGTGTCTATGGGCAATGCTGGCTCTTCGACTTAGAAATGGAGATGAGCACCAACCCCCAGAGTTGGATACGTCTGGACTTAATGTCGGGGAAAACCTTTACCTTTACCTAGTTGGTTCTACCACAAAAACATGGAAAAGGTTTATTAAACTGCAAAAAAAACATTTCGCTATAGTTTTTCAATGAATATCTCATAGGGTTTCAACTAATTCAACAGTTTGTGACAGCCACAAAAACAAAGTCTCTGGAGTATAACTACTTTCAAAGTAAGTACCACACAATTAAACAGGAAATAACACTTTAAAATCAGAAACATTTTTCTAACTTTGTTACATAGTGTAATGTATAATTTTCCATAGGTACCTACCTTGAACATTTTTATTGCCTGAAATGTGTTCCAAAAGCTTTTTTGATGGTGTCCTGACTTTCACATACGCTGCATAGTGACCTCCTCGCATTGACCCACTGTGCTCCACTATTCCATAAAGGGCATAGAGAACTTTCCCTCCATCTGTCACGTTCTTATTTGCAAAACAGAAAGCAAAAAGGAAAATTGTGATTTTTTCATAACGAATTTGGCAAATGGATTCACTCTCAAAATATGGAAAACCAACAAAAGAATTCACTAGCTAGATTAAGTTGTGCTGTTTTTGTTCTTGCAAGACCATTTCTTACCTATTTCTAATCTAGTATCTCTGGAAGGATGATGAGGACAAGGAAAGCGGCCTCCTTGATTTCATCACCAAAAACTTGGAATGTTTTCCTCTCATATTAGCAGCCTATATGACAATGATTTTCCTGTTGCTTCATGGGTTTTTACAATAATACTATACTCATATTACACACTTTTCTTATATTTTATAAAATGTATTATATTTTATTTCTTTTAACTGCTGTTGGTTATCCTGTGTGGCATCTAAACCACAGAAGAATGAGATATACATTTTTACATAACTAAATAAAATAAATTAATACTATGGAACATGGCCATACAGCCCGGAAAACTCATAGCAACCCAGTTAATACTATCTTGACTTCTCAAGGGCATAGAATGCCATAAGACATTCATTTTCAAACAATATTGGACTTCAAAAACAATGGCTGCAGAATTGCTAATAGAAATATCCTTAGGTAAGTAAATTTTATTATGGTCGATTATTATTATTATTATTATTATTATTATTATTATTATTATTATTAAACTTTATTTGTACCCCGCTAGCATCTCCCGAAGGATTCAATGCGGCTTACACAGGCCGAGGCCTCAACACACAACACAACAGTACAATCTAAGCAAATCAAACAATTAAAAACAGAATAAAGCAAAATAAACAACAGGCACAATACATTAAACACAATAAAACTGGGCCGGGCCAGAGTAATGGGTACAAGATTAAAAGTGCTGATGTGACAGGAGGTGTATATAGGGCTTCCAGGGCAAGTGCGATGTGCAGCAATCATTGGTTCTGATAAAGTGCTTATGGGACTTGGTAGTGGAGATTTCCTAATCTGGGAAATCGATGACCAACAGATAATAATAGGGGGGCCTGTTCCACACATCCACATCAAACCCAAGGGGTTATATACTTCAAACTTCAACACATTTTAAAATCTAAGCTAAAAACCACATTTAAGTAGTTATTAAAACCCAACTCAACCCACAAGATCATCTGAAGGCAGTCTAAAGAGAGGTAGTGGGATGGCACCGCAGAGGGGGGAATATCCAACACTATAAATATCAGTCTATATCTGATTTCCCATCTACATTCCAGAGGTGAAGCTTAGGTCTTTTGACTCTGAATCATCGTCTGCCGAATTTTAATCGCAGCCATGCAGAACTTAGTGACGTTGTACATCACAGCTGAGTTTGTGTCTGAGAGCAGCAGGGCTACGTAGAATTGTCCAGAGCGTCCTGGGTATTTAATTGTCCATGGCGAGATGTGACGAGATAGAATGTCTCTATAAAAAAGGCACTGCACAAGCACATGCGCCGTTGTTTCTATGTGACCTGAGTCACAGGGACATAGCTTCTCAGAGTATGAGATCTTCTGGTAACGACTTTCCAGTATGGCAGAAGGAAGCGCATGGCATCGTGCCAAGGTGAAGGCTCTCCGATGGCTGGCTACCACTAACATAGTAAGATATTCCATAGGATATTTCTGTACATATCCCAGAAATATCCGTAAAATTATCCTCTACCTTCTACTATTTCTGAACCATACCTTGCAAAAAGCAGAACAAAACGGAGCCAAGTCCAGAACAAGTGGGAAATCCACATGGCGGTTTACTTTCCTTAGACTCACACCAGCCTTAAAATGAAATGAAAAAATAGTATTTCTACAAGGGTGCCATTCAAATTCAACTGTATTGCAGAATCAATATATTGAACAATTTCAATTCCAAAACTGCACATATCCTAAGGTAATGGCATGCATCAACCTACAAAGCAGATCATTTTTCTTGTAAGTATGAGCAGAGTTTCTAAACCTGGCATGGGCAAACTTCGGCACTCTTACTGGCTATTAGGAATTGCAGGAGTTGGAGTCCAAAACACCTGGAGAGCCGGAGTTTGCTCATGCCTGTTCTAAACCATCTCCACATAAAATTTGTCTTGTGTATGATGACAGCATAATGGGCTTTTGTCCCTTATTAAACTTCACATTTTAAATTCAAGGAGACTCATAAAATGATTTAAATTATTACCTAAAAACAGTCCCACAATTACGATAGTATATTAAAGTCTCCATCCCTTTTAAAAATGGCTTGACTTGATCAAACATTCTCCTTTGCCTATTTATAAAATGGTCAAATTGGATCTGAAATACAAATTCACTATTAAAATGTGCAATGGTTGGTGGGTAATTTTCACAGAAGGAGGAATAACGTATCACCCTGTAGAAACCAAGCCTACTGAGTAATGTATATAAACATTATACATCTGCAGTATCAGACAGCTGAAAAGATTCCCTCCCAATCCCTTTCTTCTTTCGTCTTCCACACTGTCATCTTGTCTAACTGAGATGATACTGTGTATTGTGGAAAGGACAGTTCTTGCTTTTGATTAATCCTTTGCTTCATTAAGTAATGTGAAAATCTGAAAAGTTTGCATGCTCCCCCCCAAAAATTGTGCAGCCAGCACACTACCAATTAGGACTCATTTCAAATAGTCCATTTAGAAAGAGGCCTTCACCTGGTGGAATCTTTTCAGATGGAGAACAAGAACAGCAGGAACGGAAGAAATCAACAGCTGCTTCCTGGCATTTGTGTACACACCTTCTGTTTTCTTTTCTGCACAGAGGAAAATGCAGCAGTTTAAATGGCAAAGGTCATCACATCATTTCTGTAGGAGCCTTTAGAATATACAGTGCAGTACAAGCCTCACAAAAATCCCTTTTTAACAGGTTACTAATATGCCAGATTTACAGATGGCAGCTCAAGTTGGGCAAATAATGATTTCCCTAAAGCCACCCACATGGCTGAGCAGAGGTCTCCATGTTCTAGATTCATCCGGCTTTCCACTGAGAACATTGTCTCAGAACATACCCAAACGGTCAAATGCAATTACAAAGTAAACAGTTTTAAAAGTTGCAATGTCAATTACATTGTGTTAAAAAAAAAAAAAAGAGGGAAGCAGCTGTATTAATGTGCCACTTCCCAGAGGAAGGTGTGACTTATCCTGGTTATATAGCTGAGTGGGAAATAGGCCAGCCTGGTAGAGATGTAACCATCTAATTATCCCTTTATGTTAATTTCCTTTTATTGTTTGCATGTTATTGTTTTATGGTTGTACTTCATTTTAATTTCTATTTTGATTTTGATTTTTTTATTATTTGCTGTATGTATCTTATTGTTTACTATATTCATTGGGCTTGGCCTCATGTTAGCCATCCCAAGTCCCTGAGGTGAGATGGTGGCGGGGAATAAATAAATATAATAAAGCCATGTCTTAACCTAAGAACATATACAGTGGACCGGCAGTATTCACTAAGTTTAAGTTCCAGGTCCCGCTCCTCCTAACCCCATGGGTATGAATGTCTGTGGATGCTCAAGTTCCATTACATGCAATGGCATACCAAATTGGAGTCTGCTATATATAAGGTAAAAGGGTTTCCCCTGACACTAATTCAAGTCATGTCAGGGTTTCTCCTGACATTAAATCTAGTCATGTCCAATTCTGAAGGAGTGGTGCTAATCTCCATTTCTAAGATGAAGAGCTGGTGTCCGTAGATGCTTCCAAGGTCATGTGGCCGGCATGACTGCATGGAGCGGTGTTACCTTCCCGCAAAAGCGGTACCTATTGATCTACTCACACTTGCATGTTTATGAACTGCTAGGTTGGCAGAAGCTGGGGCTAACAGCAGGAGCTCACCTTGCTCCCCAGATTTGAACCACCAACCTTTTGGTCAGCAAGTTCAGCAACTAAGCGATTTAACCCGCTGCACCACCAGGAGGCCCTAGAGATGTTATATATAGATATGTAGAAATGTATAGATATATAGGGCCAACTATAAGTGCCTCAACACTTCTTTGCTCCACTTTTCCATCCTAGATCCAACCTCAGTGCTTCATGCCAGTGCATTCATGGACTGGAGTAAACCATACCAGAAACAAAGGCAGAGCCCATTGTGAAGCATGGCCTGGGGTAAGCCCAGAGGTCAATTCTTGGATTATATATATTTCTCAAAGCAAAGTTTTTCAATTACTAATTAGAGCTTAGAGCTAAAATTGATTCTCAATTTCCTTAACTTCTAAATATTTTACGTATTTATTAATTTTATTTAAAAAAATAAAAATGACTCTCAAGGCCACAAATAACATTAAAATGCAAAATGAAAAAGTTTTGAACCACAATTGAAGTAATTGAATAAAATGGAAGACCATCATCTATTAAGTTAAAATTTTGTTTCAACAGCAACCATGCTGTTGAAGGAACTTCTGCTTGCTTTCAAGGAGCTGTGGTGGCACAATGGGTTCAACCATTGTGCTGTTGAACTGCTGACCTGAAGGTTGGCAGTTCGAATCCGTGAGACAGGGTGAGCTCCTGTCTGTCAGCTCCAGTTCCTGCCAACCTAGCAGTTTGAAAACATGCAAATGTGAGTAGATAAATAGGTACCGCTTCGGCGGGAAAAGCCAAAGAGACACTCCAAGCAATCTTGCTGGCCACACAACCAGGAGGTGACAATGCACGCTCCTTGACTTGAAAATGGAGAAAGCACCTCCCCAGAGCCAAAGATGAGAACCACCTCCAGAAGCCAGAAATAAAAGGATAAGCCTCTCCCTATGTTTGTGTGTCTCATATATAATTGTAAAGACATTGAATGTCTGCCTATGTATGTAAATGCTGTAATCCGCTCTGAGTCCCCTAGGGGAGAAGGGTGGAATATAAATAAAGAAATAAAGTGTATTATTATTGTTGTTGTTGTTGTTGTTGTTGTTATTCAGAAGGGCAACTGAGAAGGAACCAGTGCAGGCTTCTCGGGTGCTAAGTTCAAACGAATGGGGAAAACTTGAATGAGACAGTCTATTACAGAAATTTTAATATGGTTCATGGAATTTTATTATGGTTCATGGAATATTATTTTGCCATGAAGAAAATGTTAGGTTTTATATGACTACATTATTCCACAAGTATGCATATCCCTAAATCCAATTTATAATATGCCCTAGTGATTTGACATGAGGGGAGGTGGGATATAATGATTCAAAAGAAAGTTGAAAAAAATGTGCACATATTGTCAAAGGCCTTACATTTGTGCATATATCTCTACCACAAGAGGGCACAAAATGATGATAGTTACAAATACAAGAAACATCTAGGATCCCTGAAATAATAATCAATCTCAAAATGAAAAATAAATTATGAGCTGGAACACATTGCTAACTGGTGAACAGTCATGAGTTTTCATTGATTCACAAAATTTATACTACTGCTATAGATGTATTATTTAAATATCCCAGAGTGTCTACTTTCATGTCATCAATGCACTACAACCCACTTTCCCTCATAATCTCTCTGTTTTCTTTAACACATTGATTCCCATGTTGATCCCAGCAAAACACATGCAATTAAGACCTTCAATACAGGATGGATCTCTATGCATGTCTGGCATAAGACACAGGAAAATCATCTGGATGTTAAGAATTTTACCTCTTTCCAATCTTTGCTACTTGTGTATTTATTTATTTTTATTATTTTGGAATTACCTGTACTCTAAATGTCTTGTAACTAACTTAATATAAGTCCTTGGATGCTGCAACTGAAACAATGAAACTCTCCAAACCCTCGGGGACTAATAAAAACCAAGAAGCAATTTTCCCAGGGTCTAAAGGCTTTGTACGAAGAACCACTCAGGGGATGTGATTTTATTTAGGTCTTTAGCACTGTCTCTCAGGTAATAAATTAATAACTTAACAAATAGCTTGCCTATAGGAAGCTCGAAGCTAAAATTCCAACTCATATCAATCACTTTTGTTTTTAAAAACCCAAATTTCATTATGCTGTGTCTTTTTGTTAGAAAATGTCTGACTTAATTGAAGTTAATTGATTTTAAGTAATTAGTTCCTATCCTAGAGCCAGAACACTGAACAGAAAGGTTTCACAAAGAAATGTTTTGCTCGAAGTACCGCTTATAGTTGCATGACAAGGGAATGCTGTTAAACAGTCTGTAGACATAAAGTAAGCGCAGGAAAGTCCCCTGAAAAAACACCCCTAAAGTCGCTCTATTTATTTTTCTATAGTTGTTCTTGTACTTCTGGCTCATACAACAAAGCACAATTCTAAGGCTATGATGCTTGCCCGCTGTCTATCTGTCTGTCTATCTACATATACACATACTCATATATCCTGTTTCTCCAAAAGTAAGACCTAACTGGAAATTAAGCCCTAACATGATTTTTCAGGATGCTTGTAATATAAGCCCTACCCTGAAAATAAGCTCCAGTTAAGTTTGTCAGCTAGGTGGACACATTTCTTGGTAGTAACACACAACCAATGTACTGAATTATATATTTAAAAAAATTATAATTAAATGTAAATGATAGTATTGACATAATATTATGATGTTCCAGAGGAATATATGACTGTATTTGAATAAATGTAGATTTTTGTAAATTAATAAATGTAGATTTTTTATACATGAAAAAATAAGACATCCCCTGAAAATAAGTCCTAATGCATCTTTTGGAACAAAAAATAATATAAGACTCAGTCTTATTTTCAGGGAAATACAGCACATACAAATGGCATAGCCACACAGTTGAACTTAATTATATATGAGCTAGAATCACAAAGACAACTTTTAGCTTGCTATGGGAACTTTGCATTCCCAATAAAAGTTCTGCATTTGGTCCCTGAACAGCTGTGTCTTTGCTTAGATCTGAAATGTCCCCTCATTTCAAAAGAAGGTTGCAATGAAGTTTGAAAGGCTGCAAGCAACTCAAATACCGAGCATGCAACTGTAAACGTAAAGCAGAAAAATACATTGAGCAACCAGTACATTACCAGTGGTATTTGATTTCTTTTGATACTTCTGTTTCCGGTCTGTGCAGTTCTCACAGAGAAGCTTGTTGTTTCCCATTAGCAGTTCCACCGAGGTAAACTGGTAGAGGCATGACTGCACAGAACACTCTTTGGAACTAGTGGTGTAGCTCTGCGACAGGGTCTGGAAAGCATTTTGCGGGCCTTGCACTAACAAGGGGTTCTCTGCTGGAAAGTTATTTGACAGGCTTGATAGGGGATCCTTATGGAAAGGCCCCGCACTTTCATTGGCTCTGTTGCTGAAGCGCAGTCTTGACAAGGCATCTGTGAGTGTGTCTGTATTACTACAGCCTGAATTGTTGTGCTGCAATGTAATGTTTCCGGGTACATGTTTATGCTCAATGGTGCACAAACCAGGCGTGCAGCAAGCTCTACTGGAAGCTGTTTCACTTTCAGAGGCCTCGCTATCTGCATCCATGCTGCTTTCGGAGTGGCTGGCTTCCTTTTCGCTCCCTTCGATCGGGCTCCCATTTGCTCCTCCTGAATCTATGGCCGTATTGCTGTCTCTTGCATATGAACCTTTAGCTCTTCCTTCAGCATTGCTATGGCCAATTTCTTCCTGCATAATAAAAGGAATCGCTTCTTCTTCACCAGAGGAGGATTGCTTGGTAAGTCTTTTCTCATGGTTCACCTGGTTCTGCCAATCGCCACCAAAGTTTCAAAGGGAGAAGAGAAACAGACAAATCTGTTCAAGATCCATTTAAAAATTACAACACCCCACTCACACTCTTCTCTAGTATTACATAGAAACACATACTCCCCCATTTCCAAATATATAAATATATTGTATATAAATATGAATGGCAACAGTTGTGAGCATTTTCCCCATTATTGCAATGCTTGGCTCACTCATATGGCAAGCAAGGAAGTCCCCAATCAGTTGACCACAAACAATATTTCTGTACTTATATCTCAGAACTAGAGCCCCCAGTGGCACAATGGGTTAAATCCTTGTGCCAGCAGGAGTGCTGACCGAAAGGTCAGCGGTTTGAATCCGAGGATATTGGGTTGAGCTCTCTCTGTCAGCTCCATCTCGTCATGTAGGAACATGAGAGAAGCCTCCCACAAGGATGGTAAAATATCAAACATCTAGGCACCCCCGGGCAACGTCCAATTCTCTTACACCAGAAGCGACTTGCAGCTTTCAAGTTGCTCCTGACATGAAAAAAAATCTCAGAATTATCCAGATTACTTCTACAAAGTAAGGAGGGGATAGGGGTTTTCATTCATCTGTTTTCTGTACCATATTGTATACTGATAAATGGATCACCATTTTAGTAGCACCGCTTTAACATATCCTGATGGGTATAATTCTACAATCTCTTTCATAACTATAACTGTAATTTTGAGGAAAAGGGGGGGGGGGCTTTGTGAAGAGGCAACAGGGATTGAACTTTAATTTCCTGATCACAATAGATCGCTCCCATTGAAGGATCGTTCTCAACCTAACTTCTAATGGATTTTAAAACCTTTTTCTAGGTAAAATTGGCTTTAAATTAGCAACCTGATTAGACTGTTTTTAAGGTTTGCAATTGCTGCCTCTCAACTACTGTTTTCATTAATATACAATTTTATCATTTTACTGTATGAAATGGTATTGTGTGGTATTGTTACTTCAAGCACTGGGGTAATTATTTTAATAGAGAACTAGTAAAAGACAAAGGTTTATAGTCATGTCCAACTCTGGAGGGTGGTGCTCATCTCCATTTCTAAGCCAAACAGCCGGCATTGTCCATGGACACCTCTAAGGTCCTGTGGCCGGAATGACTGCATGGAGCGCTGTTACCTTTCTGCCAAAGCGGTACCTATTGATCTACTCACATTTGCATGTTTCTAACTGCTAGGTTGGCAGAAGCTGGGGCTAACAGTGGGAGCTCACCCCGCTACCAGGATTTGAACCTCCAACCTTTTGGTCAGCAAGTTCAGCAGCTCAGCACTTTAACCTGCTGCACCACCGGGGGCTCCTAGTGAATATAATCCAGGGTATATTTAAAATCACTGTAAGAGAGCCATAGAGAACCTCATTAATTAATTGTACAATTTCAAATGTTATTTAGAGACTATAATAGCCTCAGTTTATGGAGATCTGTGATAATCTAATCATCCTATTCTGCAAGTGAAGCACATGTTCTGTTTCTGCCTTTCCTTTCTCTAACTACAAAGATAGAGACAGTCAACTATCAGAGAATTTGAGGAAAAGTAGATCTGAAAAGAAGAGGAAAGGCTGTATAGAAATGCAAGGTTTCCCACCACTGATGAACTAAAACTTAATATGAAAACAGTTTGGAAAAAAATGTCTACATACTGTGGGCCTTTGCTATCCACTGGGATTTGGTTCCAGGAACCTCCCCCTTCCCCATTGACAACAACATATGTGGATGTTCAACTCCCACTATATACAATGGTATAGTAAAACGGTGACTGTTATATAAAACGGCAAAACCAAGGTTTGCTTTTTGGAATATTTGGTTCTATTATTTTATGTCCCATCTTTTCCTCAAAGCTAGGACTCATGGTGGCTAACCAAAGAAAAAGAATGAGAGGCAAAAGCACATGAAGTTATGGTTAATATAACATCACATTAACTAAAGAATTAAACCCATTTTAAACACGGAGTCCTGAAGAAAAAAAGTTTAAACCAATCTTGATAGAATATCTTAATCTTATTCACTTTCATTTAGATTTTTAATATAAAACTGAATGAACTTAACTTATTATTTATTTAAGACATTTATATGCCGCCCTTCTTAGCCTGAAGGGGATTCAGAACGGCTTACAAGATATATATACATCAATATACTATATTATTAGCATAGTACAATATCAGTATTATATATTACTATATTGTACTATACAATTATATTGTAATATTATTAGTAATATTACATGTAATATAAAATATACTGTATAATTATAATATTGTATTATTATTAGTATTAGTATTATTATTATTGTGTTATTATTAGTAGTATTATTAGTATTAACTTTCACAAAATTTCCTATTAAAAATGTTGCAAAGGCTCATACATTTCTGCCATTTTTAAAAAAAATACACAGCAGTGGCAGCTGCCTGTTCTCAGAAGTCAAATTCCACATTCTTTCACAGATGGATGATTGTTGAGGAAAGACAACTGTGCTTTGTTGGATATGGCTAATAAAGTAGGATTTGAAACCACATTGAAAATCAATGTGCACTATATTCCATATATAAAATACTTTTTAAAACAAACTATACTATTCATTTACTGTGAATTTTTTTAACTTTGATTAATGAAAGCATTAGCCATGGTAGCAGAAATGTAAAATCTTGCCTTCCAACTGCATGTGGATTTTTTCCAAATGCCTTTGGATATTCAGCTACTTGGCTTTTGATTCTGCTTGGCTGGGGATGAAGGATCCGAACATGTTGTTGGAACATGTTGGAACGTCCCCTCTTGCAAACAGACGTTTTCCTTAAAATACAAAGATGGTACACATCTCATAAATTACCATCCTCAACTGCATCACACATAATTAAGGTCCACTTTCATTCAGCAGTGGGATACACATTACAAGTTAATCAACATACGATTTACACTGTATTAATAGAAAAGAAAATGAAAATACATGAGCAGTAGGAAAAGTGAAAATCACAATCATGGTTAGGAAAGCCTTCCTTAAACCACTTAATTCTCCCATCTAAGAAACTATGTTTACTCTCCATATACTGTATATATTCAAGCATAAGCCGAGTTTTTCAGCCCTTTTTTAGACTGAAAAAGTTCCCCTCAGCTTATACTCAAGTCAAGGTTATTTATTATTTTACTTTGTTGATGTTGTTGTTATTATTATTATTATTATTATTATTATTATTATATTATTTTACTCTATTCATTATTGCTATATTTACATCATTTTACTCTCTTTATTATTATTACATTTATTATTGCTGTCTATTTATTATTGTTATTACATTTATTATTATTTTACCCTATTATTATTATTACATTTATTATTTTACTATCTTTATTATTATTGGAAGGATATGTAAACAAATTCATATTGAAGAAGGTTTGAATAATGATTTAATCAGAGTTAGACAGTTTTATCTTAAATTGCAGTTTTATGTAAATATTCAACAACATTTAACCTACTGATGCCCCCAATTAATGTAATTTTATTGGTATCTATTTTTATTTTGAAATTTTGCCAGTAGCTGCTGCATTTCCCACCCTTGGCTTATACTAAATACATTTTCCTAGGGTTTTTTGTGGTAAAATTAGGTACCTTGGCTTATACTCAGGTTGGCTTATACTCGAGTATATACAGTACTTGTATTCTTAATCTCCGAACAATAAATTTATATTAAGCAGCATTTAGGGTTTATTAGATCATTTTCAACCTTGTCCACGTACCAAACATTGAAACAGATTTCAGAATGTGTTACTTCCATCCACAACTTTATTAATTTATGATGACCTGGGAAACATCTTCTACAACATTTTCCCACCAGGGATCAGTAGGCAATGGGGAAGGAACAAGAGATAGAAAATGTTGCTAGATTGTCCTAGAGCAGTGGTTCTCAACCTGTTTCTGGGAGTTGAAGATGTTTTGGCCTTCAACTCCCAGAAATCCTAACAGCTGGTGAACTGGCTGGGTTTTCTGGCAGTTGTGGGCCAAAACACCTGGGGACCCACAGCTTGAGAACCACTGAGCTAGAGGCCCTTGGTTCACTACGTAGTTGCTTAAGAAGTCACTTTTTTATCTGCTTGAAGATAGAGCATGTTAGGGCATTCCTTGTGTTAACATAAAATAGCTTAAAAGTGTCACATTTTCTAAACAATGTACTAAATATTAAAGCTGCTTTCTTCCAAAGTAGTAGAGAGTATAACATTTTCTGCATCTTACACACTACTACCTAGCAAATCTCTTGTGTGCTGTGCCACCATTGGGGAAGAAACATGTTGAGGGACTGAACCATAGTTCTGAGGCCCCTGGGCCATTGGCCGCTGAGCCCATCATGGAAGCCATGTCCTAAGCCTCCAGGGAGACGGTGCTGGCTGTACTTCTCCTGCAGCGCACCCTGCCAACTGATCCACCAAATGGCACTAATGCTGATTTGTCCGCTCTTTTGGCCAGTTCTGCACTGCCTACAATTGCAGCCAAAAGAAAACTTGGATCGCAGTGGAAGAAGTAGGAAGCCAGAAAGAAAACATAATGAAATTTAAAGGATTTATTTTGTTGAAGTGAGATCACTTTTAAACCTATAGTTTTTAACAGCTTTTCCTAGATCCCAAGTACATATACATGCATACAAACACATTTCTATTTGTCAACACAACACAATAAAGCATGGAAGATCAAGGTTTGTCTTCCAGAACTTTACAAAGAATGGGATTCCAATTTTGCTGCTACATTCTTACCTTCTCCTTGGTTAATGACTGCTTCCTAGGTAGTTTTGATTGTTGGTTATTCAGAGAATTTATAGAAGAACAGCTGTATTGATCAATATCTGTTTTATTTTTGCTTGTCCTTCCAAAAGGAACAGGTTTTGAGATCTGGAAAATAAATTTAGTGATTTAGAGTGCAACATATGGTCTCCATAAATTCTTGTATAGCTGGCCCTCCACATTTGTGAGTCTTGGTTTTGCTGATTTGATTAACAGATTTTGTTAAAATATTATCTCAAGGACTCATGCTGGAGGACCTAGAGATATCGAAAGGGAACGCCTCTTTAGGAATCTCTAGATCCTCCAGTGCCATTCTACATTCATCTTCCAGTAGACATTGATCCCAGAGTCATGCTAGAGGAGCTAGAGCAGGCATGGGCAAACTTGGGCCCTCCAGGTGTTTTGGACTTTAACTCCTGCAATTCCTAACAGCCTCAGGCCCCTTCCTTTCCCCCCTCAGCTGATTGGGCTGTCAAAACATGGAGGATCAGACACACAGGTGGGTCAAGGGAAGCACAAATAGAAAGCAATTAGAACTCTCTGAAACTCTTTCTTTTAAGCTTTGTCATATTAAACAGAAGGGGCTGCGTTGGCGCAGTGGGTTAAAAGGCTAAGCTGCACAACTTGCTGACCAAAAGGTTGGTGGTTTGAATCCGCGGGATGGGGTGAGCTCCCATTGCTAGCCCCAGCTTCTGCTAATCTTGCAGTTTGAAAACATGCAAATGTGAGTGGATCAATTGGTACTGCTTTGGCAGGAAGGTAACAGAACTCCATGCAGTCATACCGGCCACATGACCTAGGAGGCGTCTTTGGACAATTCCGGTTCTTTGGCTTAGAAATGGACATGAGCACTATTTTCACTGGGCTCTTGTACCCCTAGACCCAGCAAATGTGGAGTGCTGATTATATAAAGCAGTGTTTCTCAAACTGTGCTCCTCCAGGTGTTTTGGACTTCAACCCTCAGAAATCTCAGCCATCTTACCAGCTGTTAGGAACTGTGGGAGCTGAAATCCAAAACACATGGAGGAGATGAGCTTGAGAAACACTGGTATAAAGGATTCATACTCCCTATTCTATCTTTGCATGTATTCTATCGCTGGCTGAAGGCAAACTAGACTTGTAATTAAAAAAAACCCAACCAGCTCAAGTCTTAAAACATATCTTTTTAAAATCCATTTTTAAAAATATTAGTTTACTAGGAGAGTAACCAGGGACAGAGCGTTCTTTCATAACTGAATAAATCACTGCTCTCTAGTTGAAAGAGGAAGATTTTCCCCAAGGGATACCAGACAGCAGCATCCTCTTCCCAGGATCAAATTTAACAGTTAACTACTAAGCCTGGCACTTGTGACAAGTGTAGGGTTGTACCCTCAAAAGAGTTGAGGAGCTCTAAGCAGAATTTTTTTCCAAAAGGAAAGTTTAAGAGGACTTTAAACAAACTTTTCCTAAGTGAAACACCTAATTTTTTTTCTCCCTCCTGGCAACTCAGAACTCAAATTCAAAACCAAACATTTTTAAAGGGTCCTTAGTGAACAGATTACATGCATCAGGGGTGAACACATTCCTAAAACCCACCAGTGTTCCAACCTGGTTTTGATTTTTTTAAATCTTTAAAATGATAAACAGTTTAAGGAGTCCCTACGATCATATAACAAGTGAATTCCTGCTTCTAGAAGTCTTATTTCATAGAATCATAGAATCAAAGAGTTGGAAGAGACCTCATGGGCCATCCAGTCCAACCCCCTGCCAAGAAGCAGGAATATTGCATTCAAATCACCCCTGACAAATGGCCATCCAGCCTCTGCTTAAAAGCTTCCAAAGAAGGAGCCTCCACCACACTCCGGGGCAGAGAGTTCCACTGCTGAACGGCTCTCACAGTCAGGAAGTTCTTCCTAATGTTCAGATGGAATCTCCTCTCTTGTAGTTTGAAGCCATTGTTCCGCGTCCTAGTCTCCAAGGAAGCAGAAAACAAGCTTGCTCCCTCCTCCCTGTGGCTTCCTCTCACATATTTATACATGGCTATCATATCTCCTCTCAGCCTTCTCTTCTTCAGGCTAAACATGCCCAGCTCGTTAAGCCGCTCCTCATAGGGCTTGTTCTCCAGACCCTGGATCATTTTAGTCGCCCTCCTCTGGACACATTCCAGCTTGTCAATATCTCTCTTGAATTGTGGTGCCAGAATTGGACACAATATTCCAGGTGTGGTCTAACCAAGGCAGAATAGAGGTGTAGCATTACTTCCCTAGATCTAGACACTATGCTCCTATTGATGCAGGCCAAAATCCCATTGGCTTTTTTTGCCGCACATCACATTGTTGGCTCATGTTTAACTTGTTGTCCACGAGGACTCCAAGATCTTTTTCACACGTACTGCTCTCGAGCCAGGCGTCCCCCATTCTGTATCTTTGCATTTCATTTTTTCTGCCAAAGTGGAGCATCTTGCATTTGTCACTGTTGAACTTCATTTTGTTAGTTTTGGCCCATCTCTCTAATCTGTCAAGATCGTTTTGAATTCTGCTCCTGTCCTCTGGACTATTGGCTATCCCTCCCAATTTGGTGTCGTCTGCAAACTTGATGATCATGCCTTCTGGCCCTTCATCTAAGTCATTAATAAAGATGTTGAACAGGACCGGGCCCAGGACGGAACCCTGCGGCACTCCACTTGTCACTTCTTTCCAGGATGAAGAGGAAGCATTGGGGAGAATCACCCTCTGGGTTCGTCCATTTAACCAATTACTGATCCACCTCACCGTAGTTTTGCCTAGCCCACATTGGACTAGTTTCCTTGCCAGAAGGTCATGGGGGACCTTGTCGAAGGCCTTACTGAAATCCAGGTACGCTACATCCACGGCATTCCCCGCATCTACCCAGCTTGTAGCTCTATCGAAGAAAGAGATCAGATTAGTCTGGCATGACTTGTTTTTGATAAATCCATGTTGACTCTTAGCGATGACTGCATTTGTTTCTAAGTGTTTGCAGACCGCTTCCTTAACAATCTTTTCCAGAATCTTGCCCGGTATCGACGTGAGGCTGACCGGACGGTAGTTGTTTGGGTCATCCTTTTTTCCCTTCTTGAAGATTGGGACCACATTGGCCCTCCTCCAATCTGCTGGAACTTCTCCCGTTCTCCAAGAACTCTCAAAGATGGTTGCCAATGGTTCCGAAATGACTTCCGCTAGTTCCTTCAATACTCTGGGGTGTAGTTGATCTGGCCCTGGGGACTTGAACTCATTAAGAGCGGCCAGGTATTCCTGGACGACTTCTTTCCCAATTTGGGGTTGGATGTCCTCCAATCCCTCATCCACTCCATCTTGCTGAGGTTGAAGACTCTCTTTTTGTGAGAAGACCGAGGCAAAGAAGGCATTAAGTAGTTCTGCCTTTTCCCTATCCCCTGTCAGCATTGCCCATCTTCTCCTCGAAGAGGTCCTATCGCCTCCTTGTTTTTCCTTTTTCTACTGACATAAGAATAGAAGCCCTTTTTATTGTTTTTAATGTCCCTGGCAAGTCTGAGCTCGTTTTTGCTTTAGCCTTGCGGACCTTTTCCCTACAGGTGTTGGCTGTTTGTTTGAATTCTTCTTTGGTGATTTCTCCCTTTTTCCACTTCTTGTGCATGTCTCTTTTGTGTCTTAGCACAGTTAGAAGTTCTTTGGACATCCATTCTGGCTTCTTTGCACTTGTCCTATTTTTTTCTCTTTGTTGGCACGGTTTGCAATTGCGCCTTGAGTATTTCACTCTTGAGAAATTCCCATCCATCCGTAACTCCCTTGTCTTTTAGTATCTGTGTCCACGGGATGCTGCTCAGCGTTTCCTTCATTTTTTGGAAATCAGCTCTCCTAAAGTCCAAAATGCGGGTTTGACTTGTCTTAGTTTCGGCCTTCCTTTGTACCTCAAATTGCAGGAGCACATGGTCACTTGCCCCTAAGGATCCTACTACTTCGACCGCATCAATCAGGTCCTCCGCATTTGTTAGGATGAGATCAAGAGTAGCCAATCCCCTTGTTGCCTCTTCTACCTTCTGGACCATGAAATTGTCTGCAAGGCAAGCGAGGAATTTGTTGGACCTTGTACTCTTGGCCGAGTTTGTTTTCCAGCAAATATCGGGATAGTTACTACATCTCTTCTCTGTGCCTGTTTGGTCAACTGTTGGCAGAAGACTTCATCAAGTTCTTCCTCCTGGCTTGGGGGTCTGTAGTAGACGCCTACAACGACATCTTTTGAGTCCCAGTTCCCTTGATTCTTATCCAGATGATTTCAAGCTGGTTTCCCAGATTGCTGTCTTGAATCTCTTCTGCAGCATAAGAGTTTTTGACATATAAGGCTACTCCGCCTCCTCTCCCCTTTGTTCGGTTTCTGTGAAAGAGGTTATACCCCTCGATATCTACATTCCAGCGATAGGAGTCATCCCACCAGGTTTCAGTGATCCCTATGATATCATATTTGTGGTGTTGTGCTAAAAGTTGGAGTTCGTCTTGTTTATTTCCCATGCTCTGTGCATTAGTGTAAAGACATGTGAACCCCTGAGATCTTCCCCTGAGCTGTTTAATTGGGATTATTGTGCTTTTGGTACTTGGTCCTCGTTGTGTTTGTGCAGCCCTCCGTTTAGCCTTCTGGCGGTTCCCTGACATTGTGGGTAAAGTAGTGTTCGCAAGGCTGTTGTCCCCCTCCCCCGGTGGACC